AACCGGGAAAAGCATGGCGTTGCGGCGGTGCCAAAAAGGTCTAGACCATTCCTGGATCTTGCTGGCTTGCTGCCGGTGAGGCTCGATCAAACATGTGCCGACGCCGATACGTAGCGATAAGATCTTTTTTTTTGGGTTTTAAGGGGGGTGATCTTTTCTTGGAAACACGAAAGAACGTGGAGGGAAAGTTTGCTTGACTTGGACTTGGACTTGGACTTGGCGATTTGACATGTGGTTGTGGTGTGATGGGCGTGGCTTGTTCAGATGCGATGCGATGCGATGCGAGGACAGGCTGATAGGGCAGGGCAGCTGGCAGCTGGTAGCTGGTAGACAGACACCCGCAGATGATGTGGCTGGATGGTTAAGGCATTTGGAGAGAAGGAGGGAGGGTGAGGGGTGAGTGTCTCGGGAAAGCTCATGAAAACCTGAAGAGATGATGTCGGACTTGATGAACTTCATGAAAAGCTGAACCGATAAAATAAAGATAGAGTTCTCTTGCTTCTCATGGTAGAAACGGCCGGCTTTAACATCTCCGGCCAGCAATTGGCGATGACTGCGGGGAGTGTTGGACGAGTTGGAGACGAGTGTCTTCGAGGGACAACTGCTGCCGTTATGATCAAAAGGCCAATTGATCACAGCCAACTCTCTCGGAAAAGTATCAATGAAATCTGAAGTCATGAAGACGTCAAAGATCGACATTTTATCAACTCCAACATCAACCTTTCAATTGTCGAGCGATGATGGTCCAGCCGGCGGCATCTCAATCGTTGAGAACCCCCAAAGCTCCAAAGCTACCCCAACTCTTGGCATCACGTCACTTCGTATCTGTTTGGGGTTCAGGGGTCGTTGTTGCCTAGCATTTTGTGGGGCATTTGGCTGAGCTGCCTGCCGTGCCTGAACTCCCCTGGAGAGTCTCTGGAGAGAATCAATGAAACTGAGCCAAAGAATGGCAGACAACGGGCGTCTATCGTTGCCGTCGGTCCCGTGATTTCGCGGTAGTTTGGCATTGAATCGAGACGGTAGTACAAGAGCAGGGGTGGTTGTTGCCTGGAACTCTGGAGGAAACGCGGAGCGCGCTTGCCCAATTCGGTCGTTCGTAGGCGCGAGGAAGGAGCAATATCAAGTGGTGTTCTCCCGGAGCAAGAGAGTTGCTGCTTCCTTTCTTTTCGTTCATATCTTTTGTCGTCGCAATCGAAATCTTCATTTTGTCTCTTCCACAAACCTTCCATTTTTTGGGTGTGATCTCGGTCAGGTTGATCTCACCTTCATCTCGTCATCAATCTCGTCACCGGTTGTTGCCATCTCACATCCTTTCCTCATCTCATCCTTTGTTTACTTTCTATCCAACGCGCCTGCTCACCCCTCCTTCCCTCTGGCAGTCTTCGTTTCACACCGCCACGATGCCGACAAAGGCTGAATTGGCCAAATGGCCTCTCATGGACTGCACAATTGTCTTCAGCGGTCCCTTCATTGGCGGCCAAGAGCAGCACAAGAAGACGGCACAGTCCCTCGGAGCACACTGCATCGTCACCCATGTCGTCCAAGGCGTCACTCATGTCATCTACTCCGACAAGACCACTAACAAAATCAGCGACAAAGTCAGAGAGGCGCATGCCATGAAACTCCCCGTTGTCAGCCTGGACTGGTTGCTAAAGTCCCAGGAGAAGCACGCCCGCCAACCCGAGAAAGACTACCTTCTAGACTTGTCTTCTCTGGACCCCGTTGTTAGTGATGATGCGACCGCCGACATGGACGCAGACACTACCTCACAAAAAGGTGGAAACGACACTTCTACCAAAACTACCACGCGTACTAAGCGCAAGAGATCGCCATCGCCAGTGCCACTGGTTGCCGCGAGCAAGAAACCGGTCCCCGCCCAGAGCACAGCCGTCGAGGAGAGCCCAAAGAAGTCCAAACTTGAGACCGAGAGAGCCGTGGGTGAGGGCCAGATCCTCAAAGACAAGACCAAGCAGATCCCTTTGGACCAGGGCGCTCCGTTTAGGTTCCAAGTCTATGTTGATCCGGAAGGTGTTGTCTACGACGCCTCCTTGAACCTGACCAACTCTGGCGGAAACAACAACAAGTTCTACCGCATTCAGGCAAGTCGCCATCCTCGCCTCTGCCGCTTCTTGCGTTCTAACTAACCGACGAGATAGCTTTTGATGGACACGAACTCTACATTTGCAGTTTGGACGCGCTGGGGACGTGTCGGCGAATTCGGCCAGAATGCCCTTCTTAACGCTTCGTCTCTCGACAATGCCCTGCGCACTTTCGGAAAGAAGTTCAAAGACAAGTCCGGACTGACATGGAGCGACCGGGGCGAGCATCCCAAGCCCAATAAGTATGCCTTCGTCGAGGTGAACTATAAGGACGACTCCGATGACGAAGAGGATGCCGAGGGCGGCGCGGCCACGAACGAGGACGGGGAGGACGCCAAAGAGCCTCCCAAATGCACACTGAATCCTGCGGTGGCCAGCCTCATGAAGTTCATCTTTAACCAGGAGTTTATGGACAACACCATGTCGGCACTCAAGTATGATGCACGCAAGCTCCCCTTGGGAAAGCTCAGCAAAGCCACAATCACGCGCGGTTACCAGACCCTGAAGAATCTTTCGGAGCTTTTTACCAACCCCGCCAAGGCTTCTGAATATGGCTTGCCCTATCAGGAAGCTGTCGAGTACCTCTCCAACACATATTACTCGCTCATCCCTCACGCGTTCGGCCGTGATCGTCCGCCTGTCATTTCCACTGATCATCTGTTGAAGCAAGAGATCGAACTCCTCGAGAACTTGAGCGACATGAAGGAGACGAGCAGCATCATGAAGATCGATAAGACTCAGTTTGACGTCCACCCTCTCGACAGGCAGTATCAAGGCCTCGGTATGCAGGAGATGTCTCCTTTGGACCGGACTTCGAGCGAGTTCACCCAGCTTGCCGATTACCTAATGGGCTCACGCGGTCATACTCACGGATATAAGTACCACGTTGAGGAGATTTTCCGCATCGAGCGCCAGGGCGAGTTCGACCGATTCGAGCAGAGTGACTATGCCGATGGCAAGCTGAAGCTTAAGAAGAACCGCAAGTTGTTGTGGCACGGCTCCCGCTCAACGAACTTCGGTGGCATCCTTAGCCAGGGCCTCCGTATCGCGCCGCCGGAAGCCCCCGTCAATGGTTACATGTTTGGCAAGGGCGTCTACCTGGCCGATATGTCCAGCAAGTCGGCGGGATACTGCAACGCCTATGCGTCCAACCAGACGGCCCTCCTCTTGCTTTGCGAGGCCGAGCTCGGCGACCCTATCAATGAGCTGGTAGACGCCGACTACGATGCTGGCGAGCACGCCAAGGAGCAGGGCATGCTGTCCACTTGGGGCAAGGGCAGGTATGGCCCGTTGAGCTGGAAGGATGCCGGCTCCGTGAACCCGGCGCTGCAAGGTGTCATGATGGTGAGTTCTTGACCCTTTTTTCATTCTGGTGATGACATGGAAGATGTGATTGCTAACGAGAGGTCATGTTTAGCCCGATACTTCGGTTGCTCCCGGCGACACCAACTACGCAGATGCTAGCCTGTGGTATAACGAGTATATCGTTTACGACGTTGCTCAGATCCGTCTGAGATATCTCTTCCGCGTTAAGATGTAGGATGATCTTGACTTGCTGTGATATTGATCTTGATCTGGAGTTGCCTGGGATATAGCATGGAGTTTTGGAGTTGTGTGGAGGGAATGGAAAAGCAAGGTATTTGTCGGGGTAATGTGTTCAATATTTGGCATTCGAACTTTGTGGGATTCTCAAGGGCGTATTCGGTCGTCATTTCTCAAGATATTGTGAGGCATTTCCAAGTAATGGAAACCCATGTAGTCTAGCTTGTGAGATAGTTAGGACAATGCAACATTTCCAAGCTCATATTGTGTCCATTCTGAAAAAAGACGCTGGTGACAAAACAGCAAGTTGCCGTTGAACTCTAGAGGTAGCTTTCCACCGATCGCGTGTTAAAAACACTATAACGCACTCAGCCACTGTATCTGGAGTCTAGCCGTGCTCACGGACTCGGGAAGTGTACAGCAACCTGCCTCATCTTCTGTGGGAAGCAACTACCTCCCTCCTCAATCATGCCCAGATTCCTCCCAAGATATTCAACGAGCTTGGGAAAAGAGGGCAAACTTCATTCCAATTGATATCTGAAAGCAAGATGTAGGGATAAGCGAGTGGACTCTTGATCCTCTTGACGTGTGAAATTAGGCCTGAGTTGTCTTGGACTTTCGCATTGTTTGAGTAGATGCAAGAGCCTCAAATACCCGGCTCATGTGCTCTAAGCCACTCTATATCATCAGATCAACATCTAGTCCGGGGCTTATTACCTTGCCTTCTCATAAGAACTCGGGTCGAGGAGACTCTCATAGCGGGACTTGGCTCCTTAACGCCATTAACACTATCGCTTACATCCATAATATTGGGGATTGCACTGCAAGATTGTCTTCTACTCATGCTCTCAAGACCTATAGCCCTAGAACCACGCTGTGCATGTAATGAAGAGGTAACGAAGAGTGTCCCATGCCGGCCACCAGTGACACCATCCCCTGAATTCGTCATCACCAGGATTGAACTGCAAGAGTCCCTTCCCTCCACGGTATGAAGTGGAATACAGGGCACCAAAATTTCCCCTGTGAAGCGGATATACCTCTAAGGAAGAGTGTCCTATGCCTTCTACTAACCCAATCCTAACCAGGCAGCCAGGCAAACACCCAAACACTTCCCCTACGCGTTACCCTCGTGCGGTACCCGCATAGGCCAGGCCCTCCCATAACCCTCGCGTGCCTTCCTACTTCCTCCCTCTCCTCGTCCGTCCCATCTCCCACTCCCTCACCTGCCCTTCCCGCTGCCCCTTCCCGTGCCCCTCTATAGTCCCCTCTACCCCCGTCTACCCCTCTATAGGCTCGCATAGCCCTTGACAGGCCCTATATATATCAGGTCCGCAGAACAGTATATAACAACAGAAAGAAGTGCGGTTAGTATAGTGGTTAATACGCCCGCTCCAGACAGTGCAGCTCCCGGGGGGCCCCCAATTCTTGGAGTTGTCTGAGCGGGAGTCCCGGGTTCGATTCCTGGACCGTGCAAGGATTTATTTTTTGAGGGTTTCTGGACTGGTGAGGGGTTTTCTTTTTGTTTCTCTTCGTGCGAGGGACATGGCGGGGGTTGTTGACGGTTAGATGGCTCTCGTTATTACCTATATTTTCTACGCTTTCCTACCCGTTTTCGGTGTTTTTCAGAGTTTTTTTTTACCGTTATGCCTCGGGTTTTCTGAGGTGCTTGTGAGCTTGTTGTTGCATCACGGACTTTTTCATGGTGGTTTTCGCTTGACTCACACTTTCCCACACCTTTACACCGTTGGGAGCTTCATGTTATTGTTGGAGAAACATGGATTATGCTGCGAGGAAGGGCGACCAACACTTAGGCACCATTCCCGCACAATCCTTTCGTACCAGCTTCGACACAGAGCTTTGCTTGACGGTGGTAAAGGCAACGAGGAGAGATGTTGCCCGAATACCGCCTGGAAAATTGTTCGGAGTTTGTTTTTCCACAACCACCTCGCTCGGTTTTTTTCCTCCTCAAGGCAACTCGCTTCTTGCTAGTTGCTTTCCCTCCCCTCTCTCGCCACCCTCGCTTACTGTATGCATGGTTCTTGCTAACTTCCCTCATCCAGGCAGATGTACCCCGCGCACCCCTCGCGATATGAGCCTTCTCCCCTTCGGAGTAGTCCACTGTGGCCGGAACGAGACACTCCTCGACAACGACGTACACCTCGACCATCACAATCCTCCCAAATCACGAACCGACCATGGAAAAGACACGCACTTCAATCGATGGAATAAGACGAGCAAGGCCATCTACTACCGAGCGAGCAAAATCATTTCCGAGCCACTAAGCAACAAAGCATCAACAAGAACACATTCGCAAGGGAATCCAGGGCGAGAAATATCAGGAGAGCGTCCATAGGTTCTCTCCTACAATACCCCAGAAACTGATAGCCACACTCGGCCAGATGTTCATGAACTCTCCCTGCCAGGCGCTCAGTCTTCCCTCAGCTAGACCCACCATATCCCGCTTGCGGCTCCCCGATGGGACCAGCGCCAGAAACAAGTCAAGTCGGGACCTCGACTTGCTTGAACTTGATTGAGTGGGTTAAGTCAATACCCAGACTTGATTTGAACTTGACTTGACTTGCCGACTTGACCAAATTTGCTAAGAAAAATATTATAGTTAATTTATACGTTATATTATATTTAAGTAATTTAAACCTTAAGTTATTAGGTGGATCGATCTTCGAAGGTTGAAAAATTTTTCGTACTTTGCCACCTATAACCCTAACCCCAAGATAATCAAGTTCCTCAAGTCAAGTCCGGACATCGACTTAACTTGATCAATTCAAGTCGGGACCTCGACTTACTTGCTTGCTTACTTGAAGTTGATTGAACTTGACTAGGGAACTTGACTTATTTCCGGCGCTGGATGGGACTCATCCATACCTCTAGATACGAGAACTCATCCATACACGAGAGGGGAATGACAGGGCATTGATGGTGATGGTCATAGTGGTAATGGCGAAAGGAATCCGTTACCGGACTGGACGAAGCGCAGTCTGTTGTTCACGACAGTCAATGTTCAAAGACACGCCCATTCCTTCGTTGACTCTAGGGAACGAACAGATACCACACGGGACTCCGCAAAGATACATCCAACTGTACATATACTCTGCCCCGTCCAGACAAGGGGAAGGTTAGCTAAATTCGGTTTCAACAACACGGCCTTCAAGGAGCGGATCTAGTAAGTAGGTACTCCATACCAGCAGTCATCACGGTGAAGAAGGAAGTGCCCGCGATCGACCAAGGGCCAGGTGTCGTTCTGATACCTCTACTATCGAATATGCCGGCATCCCCGAGAGAAACGATAACCGGAATGATGTTGATTAGAGTCTGCTTTTCCGGGTCTGGCACCGTTAGATCGTGCCTAGAGGTACCTACCTACCCTAAAAGGTCGATCACACATGTATGGAACGCGCAAGAATGACTCGCATGATGCAACCACTACCACATAACATGGAAGCAACCTGTACAGAGGTTGGGACTTGCAGGATTTATGACCTGGACGGTCGAAGTGTTAACTAGCAGACGTTCTCTCTTTCCAGAGACAAGAGTTGTGAGCGTGTGATACATGTATCAGTTGCCAAACAACCAAGGACATATAACGACCGAACCTTTTCCATGGTTGGCTGTACCCAACGCAGCAGCTTGCACCAAAGAAGAGAAGATTGTTATTCACGGAGTGATCAGATAACGGAAACAGAGTGTCTTGAAAGGGGGTATCTCATTACACCACCTCTACCAGCTTTGACCCCACATGCGGCCACCCCCCACATGCAGCCACCTTTCGATCCCCTCATTCCATGCCCATACTTCGCGCCCTCTTTCTTCCAACAACCATAACTCCATCAAAACACCATCGATTCTATTGATTTCTATCACGATGGAGTCGCTAATCAATCAAACACTCGATAACATACGCGACGGCATGTCCCAGCGCGCTGCAGCTAAGAAATACGGTGTCGCACGATCTACCCTCGCCGGGCGCATGAAAGGCCGCCAACCGAAGAGCATCTCGAAAGTTATCGACCAAAGGCTATCCCCAACCCAAGAATCCTTTGTTTGTAACTGGATTCTTCATAAAGAGAAGGCTGGCCGTGCTCCCAACCGTCGCCAACTCATAGGCTTCGTATCATCCATCCTCAAAACAAATAGTAACAACGACAAATTGGGCGCCCGCTGGGTCGACCATTTCGTCAAGAGGAATCCCCATATCAAAGCCAAGCTTTCGAAGAACCTCGAGTCCGACAGAATTAGAGGGTCTACTAAAAAAGTCTTTACGAAGTTTTTCGACCTTCTAGAAGCCACAATTCGGGACAAGGCCATTATACCAGCCAATATTACCAACATAAATGAACATAGACTTCAAGAGCTGGAATCGACCACGGGAAAGGTCTTTAGGACATCCCTAACAAAGAAGGCATACGTAACAACGACCAACGCAACGACTTAAGTATCCATTATTAAATGTAGAACCGCTAAGGGCAAGCGCCTAAGTCCTATCGTCATCTTCACTAGCGCCAACCTACAGGGACAATAGTTCCCTAAGTATATGGACCGTAAACTCAAAGGATGGAAGTATAACAGCACATTAACGGGCTAGAGCAACTCCCGCATTGCCTTACGATGGTTAAGGGAGGTTTACCTTCCAGAAACGAAGCCTATTAGCGATGCTTAGCGCCTCCTTATACTCGATAAGCACTCGAATCATATCACGGATAATTTCATGGTAGAGGCCTTCCAGAACAAGGTTCAACTACTCTACTTGCCCGCCCATACCAGCCATAAGACCCAGCCACTCGACCGTTCTATATTTGCCGCCGTCAAATCGTACTTCAGGGATTTAACAAAGGATTATAGTAATTACCCAGCAACTACGCCAATATACAAACAACGGTTCTTAAAGTATTACCTAGAAGCCTCCAATCGAAGCGTAAGCCCCAGAAACCTCAAATCTAGGTTCAAAAAGACTAGCATATAGCCAATGAACAAATCTATTATACTCGACGACCCCCAGGCTATCCTTAACGACAACGCCGTGCCCGCCGAGCCAAACGAACCTCCCCGCGCCCAAACACCACCCAAAACAAACCCATCTAACCGGGACTATATCTTCCAGACCCCTCAAAAATCCAAGGACATTCTTAAAGCCATCAAAGGCAACGTAGCCAATCTTAATCGCCATCTACGCACGGTTTACAACAAGTCAACGAAGGCCATCGACCAGAAGAACGCAACCATCGCTACGTTACACGAACAACTGCACTACTATAAGACCAAGGAGGAGGCACACAAGCCCAGAGGCAAGCGCAAGGTTAAAGAAACGGGTAATAATAGATTTGCACAGATAGATAAGATTCTAGAAGCTCGTAACGCCTCACAACAAAGTCCCAAGCGCAGGAAGGTTGCCCCAACAACAACAACTACACCAGACCTTCAGAACGTAGAGAGGGCGCTCGCAACAACACTGCAGACCATTCAAGAACATGAGGATTAATATATAAACATTTTATCTGGTCGAAATCCCTACAAAAGTGGCTAGTTTTCGATGTTGTACGATACCTGGTTATGGCGGTGAAGGTGGCTGCATGTGGGGGGTGGCCGCATGTGGGGTCAAAGCTGGTAGCATGGTATTCTCACAGCTATATCTAAACAAGTAATCCAACACTTAAACAGCCACATCGATTCGCGTATATCCACATGCACCCCTCCATCACATCCTTTCAGAATTCACCTTGCCCTATAGACTTCGATTCTTACCTTCCTTCAACCCTACCGGGGTTGCTGCCCCTGTTTATAAGCCCGCGTAGACGATCCATCCTTGGACCAATGGTCATTTACTCTCCTCAAACTCATCCAACCCATGGTGGAAACCACGACCTTGGTAAATCCTCCTCCCTCTCAACCACTTTGTGCCAGACTCCATCTATATTCCTCCATCGGTCAGACGGATCAGATCGATCAGGACCAGACCGATCACGCCCAGACCGATCACGACGACCAAGCCTCTAACCGTGATCTCCATGATACTGTCCTGGCCCCTGCTGTCCGTGCTGTCCGTGCTGTTGTTGTGCCGTCCCTACTCCTTGCCCAACTCCTTGCCCTTGCCCAGCTTGCACCTGTCCATGAACCTGTCCTCCCACCTGACCCTGCCCCGGCATCTGCTGCCCCTGAACAGTCCACTCCCCCCCATCAACGGAAACGGCGACAGTCCCAACCCCCACGCCTCCGGCGCAAAGAAATCATTCATCCCGTTTCCACCACCACCCATCCCCCCACCACCAAAGTTCATCCCGCTTGCTAACATCTCTTCAAACGCGTTGCTGCCTGTTGTGATCTGGCTTGCTTGCGAGGGTGCCACTCCGGGGTTGACTGCTTGGTTTACTCCTGTTCCTTGTCCCGGGCCTATTGGTGCAGCGGAGGAGGAGGAGACGGGAGGGAGAATTTGTCCTTGTCCTTGTCCTGGTGGTGGTGGT